CGGGGACGAAAGATGGAGCAGGGGTGTCCCACTTCAGTGTCTTCCTGGGTTCACATCCACTCTTTAACCCAGCACCGCCACGCCCTTGTGGCGGTTTTACGCAAACAGCGGCCTCAGAAATTCGCTATAAAAGATTTGATTTAATAAAATGAATGTCCTTCCACTTTTAGCTTTGAGCCCTCTTACCATTCACTGCTCACAAAAATAAATGTTCAGATAAAAGGTTCGGCTAAATTGAAGATGGCAAATTCACCACCTGTAATCTGTGATAGCACTCCTCCGAATTAAACCACTCATCTTGAGCTTTTTTTTTTTTCATATTTTCCTCTGCTACTTCCTTACTTTTTTCCTCCAAGGATTCTGGTATTATCGCTAATGATAATTTTCGAAGTCGTTGAAACACTGACCAGCACACGACTGATGAACTTTAGCGTTGAAATTACGTCCATAAATGAAGACTGTGGATATGCTACTATTTTAGTGCTCATCTGCAGCTTGATGTTTTCTAAGATTGCAATATTGATTTTTATAGAAAACAATATTTTTTAGCGACACATTCAAATTTATTACGCGTCGTTTTATAAGTGTTTAACATCACAAACAGACAAGCGGAAAAACACGCAGCAAACTAAAAAAAAAAAAAGCAAACAGACGATAACCGTGAGAAATTTTAAAAAATTCCAGAAGATGATAAAATTTTGGTAAAAAAAAGTGGCAAACATTTTCCATGATAGCTGAATGAAGACCTCAGTAAACGCTTTTAATTCTAATAAAAACGAAAGTAATAAAAGCGAATCAGAAATTTTTAAATTCATCAATTAACATTTCCCAAGATTGGCTTTTTACAGAAGCCCACCGACAACCGCAATCTTTATGTTCCAGCCTTGAAGTCCGCAACCCTTTCTAGAGTATACCTATTCATAGCAAGGATTCCAAGAGAGATCTTGCGCGTTCCAAAACATTTCACCATCGGCACCATTTGCAGAGAGTTCACAGTAAGTGACGAAGATACAACAATACGCTAAGTCAGTGGAACACGAGACTTGTAAGTTCGCCAATCGTCTTGTCCTGGAAAGAACTGAAATGTTTCATCCATCCTGTCATACTCTGCCAAGTTATAAGATAGTTTTCACATAGGAATACGCATCCTAACAGCTCTGAAATCAAGAGAATGGATGGAAGAATACTGCGGTGGCAGGGCTAATTCCTGATTTTCACCTTCGTTCGTGCTCATATTAAGTTACGTGTGGAAATATGACGCTTTTCGCGAGGGAAATAAAGCCGTTTTTATAATAGATGATCTTGGGAAAGAATTGAAGCAATTAGTTCAATGACACAAAGGCGCTTAATGACGGCGCCTTGTCTAAATTAATAGTTGATATGGAATCTTATTGATAATGTTTGCCATTAACTATGTGTTTGCTTTACTTATCTGATAATGAGAAGTAGATGAAAATCGTTTTCAAGAAAAAGACAAAAGAAAAATTATGTTATTACACAAGCAAAGCATTTGGCACTGGGTTAATTTTCGTTAAATGGTAAAGTTCACCTGCTTTATTCAAAAGCCGANGCATAAATAGCGCTATCTACTGCGAAGGATCGTGCATCATACGTATTTAATACCGCAGTTCAAAATATATGAACTTCATATATTCATTGTATCTGATTTATCATCACGGGTTTATTACGAATCAACTTAACGGCCTGCTCCCAGTTGGCTTGTTAGCTCAATTGGTAGAGCGCTGCACTAGTATCGCAGAGGTCAGTGGTTCGAATCCCGTACAGGCCTGATTTTTTTTCAGGTCTGATTTTCGCTATTGCATAAATAGCGCTATCTACTGCGAAGGATCGTGCATCATACGTATTTAATACCGCAGTTCAAAATATATGAACTTCATATATTCATTGTATCTGATTTATCATCACGGGTTTATTACGAATCAACTTAACGGCCTGCTCCCAGTTGGCTTGTTAGCTCAATTGGTAGAGCGCTGCACTAGTATCGCAGAGGTCAGTGGTTCGAATCCCGTACAGGCCTGATTTTTTTTCAGGTCTGATTTTCGCTATTGCATAAATAGCGCTATCTACTGCGAAGGATCGTGCATCATACGTATTTAATACCGCAGTTCAAAATATATGAACTTCATATATTCATTGTATCTGATTTATCATCACGGGTTTATTACGAATCAACTTAACGGCTCAATTGTTAGCTCAATTGGTAGAGCGCTACACTAGTATCGCAGAGGTCAGTGGTTCGAATCCCGTACAGGCCTGATTTTTTTTCAGGTCTGATTTTCGCTATTGCATAAATAGCGCTATCTACTGCGAAGGATCGTGCATCATACGGATTCTGGTATTATCGCTAATGATAATTTACGAAGTCGTTGGAACATTGGACTGATGAACTTTAGCGTTGAAATTACGTCCATAAATGAAGACTGTGGATATGCTACTATTTTAGTGCTCATCTGCAGCTTGATGTTTTCTAAGGTCGCAATATTGAACTTTATAGAGAACAATATTTTTTAACGACACTTTCAAAGTTATCAAGCGTCGTTTTATGAGTGCTTAACATCACAAACAGACAAGCGGAAAAACACGCAGCAAACTAAAAAAAAACAAACAAACAAACGATAACCGTGAGAAATTTTAAAAAATTCTAGAAGATGATAAAATTTTGGTAAAATCGTTGCAAACAATTTACATGATAGCTGAATGAAGACCCCAATAAACGCTTTTAATTCTAATAAAAACGAAGTAATAAAAGCGAATCAGAAATGTTTAAATTCATCAATTAACATTTCCCAAGATTGGCTACTTACAGAAGCCCACCGACAACCGGAATCTTTATGTTCCAGCCTTGAAGTCCGCAACCCTTTCTAGAGTATACCTATTCATAGCAAGGATTCCAAGGGAGATCTTGCGCGTTCCAAAACATTTCACCATCGGCACCATTTGCAGAGAGTTCACAGGAAGTGACGAAGATACAACAATACACTAAGTCAGTGGAACAGGAGACTTGTAAGTTCGCCAATCGTCTAGTGCTGGAAAGAACTGAAATGTTTCACCCATTCTGTCATAACAGCTCTGAAATCAAGAGAATGGATTGAAGAATACTGCGGTGGCAGGGCTTGTTCCTGATCTTCACCTTCGTTCGTGCTCACATTAAGTTACGTGTGGAAATATGACGCGTTTCGCGAGGGAAATAAAGGCATTTATATAATAGATGATCTTGGAAAGAATTGAAGCAATTAGTTCAATGACGCAAAGGCGCTTAATGATAGCGCCCTGTCTAAATTAATAGTTAATATGGTATCTTATTGATAATGTTTGCTTTACTTATCTGATAATGAGAAGTAGATGAAAATCGTTTTCAAGAAAAAGACAAAAGCAAGATTATGTTATTATACAAGCAATGCATTTGGTACTGGGTTAATTTTGCGTTAAATGGTAAAGTTCACCTGCTTTATTCAAAAGCCGAAAGGAAAATTGCAGAAACTGACATTTGTTTTACGAAACAGTACAATATTAATGGCTCAATTCAAGCTTGCTTAGCAGAAAAATTTTAGACGACACTTCCTGGAATTAACAGATAAAGCCCTTTTCTAAGAAATAATTTTCTAAACTTTAAAACTTGAAAATGCAATGAGCTGAAAGCAGACAATTTTCAACTGAGCTTTATTGCATTTTCTATAGGGCTATGGTTCCGTTCACTGGAAATTTCGCACAATAAAAAAAATTGTAATTGGTTTCAGTAAATATTGATTCAATTTCTTTCCCGCTACAAGTGAGCGATATAAGTTGCAAACCATTAGTAAAAATTGCGCTGCAAGCTCATAAATAACTCCGAAAAATTCCAAAATTGAAGATATTTACTCCAACACTTTGTGGTATCGCAAAAAGGATTACTACCTCTTTGCTGAAACCCGAAGCGAGATTAGACGAGGAAACATTCTCGTATCAGTTATTCACCGCTGAAAAAAGAGACACGAAAAACAAATTGAATGATCAAGGTTAAACAAATAAAGAAGGGAAAAAAAAAAGGAAAAAAGAAACGAAGAAAAGGAAGAGGTACGGGAAAAAACATAAACATTCGCTTTAAGTACTAAAAACACTTACGTCACCAGGCTGTCAAGTTTGGCCTCTACTTACACACGATTCGCTGAAGCAGTTTTGGCCTAACTCCTCTTTCAAGATAATAATAAAACTAGAAATTTCCAACAGGGCATAATTCTTCAAAGAAACTCATAATTTGAAAATGAACATGAGTTCGGTATACTTAGCTCGGCGAAATACGTTGCGTTGAAAGCACGCTGAAGAAAGAGATACTTGTTCTTTATAGCGCGTTAGCATGGAGTGAAGTGGACAAGATGACGTTCAAAACCATTTTTTGGAAGGTTTATCCATAGAAATTACACCAGTCGTCCATTTTATGCGGAGTGATCTATGACCGTTTCCTATACTCAGTGGTTCTAAGAACTGATACAATTCTTAAGACAAAAGTAAATTCAGTTCTTCATCACTGTCGTCCAGCGCGCATCTGTAGTGGTTGAATAAGTCCCCAGATCACTGACCGCCGGCAAGAAATAGGAGCACGAGGGAGGGGCCCAGACCTCTTTCTCCTCTCATCCCTACCCCCCTCCATAAATTTACGTAAAACAATAAAATAGAAAGTCTTTCTTTTGGTCGAAAAAATTCCTTTAATATTTCTAGATCTGACATTTACAGTAATCGATCTAAGGATACTGAATGAAAAGAAATTATTTTTTAAGACCTGCTACGCAGCACCAGCAAAACAATTGAATTTTTTATCTCTGTAATTTTGCAGTAAGTTGGATTTATGAAAATGAAATTTAAAAGCTAAAAATATCACTTGATGCCCAGTCCAAATTCGTTGTGACGTAAATAATGAAATAGCATCAGTCAAAAAATAGATTCATACCTTACCAAATAAACAAATGATACAAATTTTTCTGTTTCGAGTTCGACAAGCTCATATTCAGCATCCTCAACACTTCTCACGATATCAAGTAAATCGTTTTGTCACCTGATTGTGGAAAAAACTGAATTTTGACAAGAGCTAAGGTAAGAACAGTATTGTGCAATGACAGAAAATATACATACAGAAATAACCTAAAGAATAAGACGAAAAAATCGGAAAAATATTTATTCGTCACGAGCGAGGGTGAAAGAAAAATGTCACGTTTCCCTTTTGAGGATACGAATCTTTGACCATCGAAGTTTACGGTCTACAGCTCTGTCACAGTACTACAGAGTACTCGATCTTGAGCTGAGACATACATACAGGGTCATATGCGACCCGCAATACCGCAAGTCGAATCCGTTATGTCTGAAAAAAGATGAAGAAAGAGAGAAAATTTTCAGCTCTATCGTCGAATCAAGAAATTTTTACAAGAATCGAAATACGCATGTTTAGAGATTGAATCGTCAGATAATACTCATATTTTTCCCTTCTATTTCATACTCGAGGCAAATGAGTAAAATTGTTCTTTATTCGAAGTCCGAGCAAAAAATATCTCCACTTTCTTTACCAGCTTCAACTACAGAACTAATTCTCAAGGCTGACGTGTAGATAAACACAATAAACCTTGAAATATCTGATTTATCTACCCATGGAGGAGCTATGAAACTATAACATAGCTTATTCCAGTATTATGTACCCTACTTGTCATATATGAACTGTAGTACATGCTCTTGCTTTCCACATCCAAATGCAAAATCTGGAAATGCTGGAACTAGAAAACCTTGCAGAAAACAAAAATTTTTGCTACTAAATTCCTGTAAGAAGCACTAGGGTTTGCGGCAGAACTGAAATATTTTTGCAACAATGTCACGAGAGAAAAACTACTTTGATAAATGATGCTAATATTTCTTTTGGAGGAGCACATCTCCTTTCGTTATAATGTCATCAACACTTTTCATTACAAAACGCGAAACTTTTCTGTTTTTTTTTTTTTATTTGTAGCGAAAAACCAAGTATCCACCTTGGAAAAGAGCTTTAGTACAAGCAATATTCAGGTAAGATCGGAAAGGAATAAAGTAAACTGTAGCATGTTGTGATCGAAACAAAGGAAAATAGCAACGGTTAGTTCAAGATTCAATATGTAATTTATGGCATTTATCGACCTTTTTATCTTACCCCGGTGATTGACGTTTGATATTGATTTGACTGAATTCTCTCTCCATGTGAGAGGAAGTCAATGAATGAAAACAACAGAAAGATGGTTGTCTGTTAATCTTGCTTAGGATTCAATACGTATGAACAAACCCGTAATTTTAAGTTACTTTGAAAATTTACAACCTTTCCGCACACGAATGGACGAAAAAGTTTTATGATAAAAAAAATGAATACACTAGGATGAAATCTCTAGCACGATTGGACCGGAAGCTTTTTCCCTTTTGATCGCAGCCCTGTCTATGCTATAATGGCGTGCATTTACATGAAACGAGTTCACCGTTACCGTTTTAGAAACCTGATGAAGTTGTTACGGCGAAAGTGGAAAAGTGGAATTTTAAGAAACTCTGAACGCTTTTCAAGGAAAGATCATAGAAAAGACATTCATGTTGTGTACCGTTGTTTTAGCTTTATAATTCACATGAGAGCTTGAAATTTAACTTCTCCTTACAATATTGTTACGCTTCTAACAATTAAGTAGTAAGAGTAGAAAAATTGAACTGAAAGGCGATATTCTGTCGATTGTACACTACATTACTTTTACTGATTAATTTGCGAGGAGATTCAAGGAACGCACTAACCATATCTTTGCATTTTATAGATTAAGTAGTATCGCAGTTTAATTCCTCGTCATTTCGTTGACATAATTACGTAAAATGAAAATTGATGTGAAAGGAAAAATCTGTGTGATGAAGAGAACGTGTCTCATAACTCGCGGGCTGTCTTAATCCTTTTCGATTCACTTTTATAAGACGGATGGCGTCCCTCTCTGGGAAAGACAGGATCTAGCAGATAGCAAGTGTTCTCCTCTGAAAGGAAAAGAACTGAGTCTAAATCACAGGATTTTGCAAAATAGAGAAACAAAACAAATTTAAAAAACAACAAACGCACACAAGTACTTTCATGAAGTTGCAATACATTAGAGGGGGCTACATCGTGTCTGGTGAATAAGACATCTTTCGAAGTAGTAAAGCAAACATCTTTTCTTGATATTGTCAGACATGTGAAAAAAGCAAGTGGCATCTACGTGGAATTAACGGATTCAGAGGATGACAGTTGAGCAGGTACTAAACTAATTTGATTTTGCATCTAATTAAAGCCCATTGTAATGCTCTGTTTCTTACGCCTTACAGTAGTAGGAAAGATGGGTGCTCTAGCGCGGTTGCCGTGTGTTTGCTATTTTTTTGCTTGCAAATTAGACGATTTTATCATTCTGTTGACCCTCAACTTGCCGATCGCTAGTTTGAATTGAACTGAGCGAATTTATTGCCTTGTTGATAGCCAACTAGCCAAACGCGCTGCGGGCACGAAAATTTGATTTTTTGTTTGACCGCAACAGTGGCTGTTTCAAATGATTGTTTCTGTTGAACAACGCAGTGGTTTACTCATGTTGGTGGTTAATACGGTGATCTCGTGACCTTGGGAATTTTGCGGTTGACCTTGAGATTTTGGGCACTGAAGGAAAAGTTTTAAAGCTAAGACTCGTTAAAAATTTAATGAATACGTGTGGTCAGAGAAATTCGAATGTGTAAAAAAAAATCATCAAACGATAATATAAATAGAATCGCATCATTGAATAAAATCTCGCATTCTGATTGGTTAATGAAGCGAGGTATTTAGCGTGGAATTGCGAGTTGAAAACGAGGCTAAGTGATATTGATTCGCATCTACGTAAACATAATCTTAAGTAATGTTGTTTCCTCTTTTTACTCATTTATATTCAGTTATGCGATTCAAGGAAAATCCATTACTTCACTCGTGAATTCCGCCTTAAATAAATTGCACTTGAAACCGATATCGCACTCGTCGCTTCGCGATTCGTGCGATATCGGTTTTTGTGTGCAATTTAATGCGGAATTCCCTCGTCAAGTAATGAATTTTCCTATAAAATTGCTAAATATCAGAAAGAAGGATCAGGATGGACTGTTAAATCCATTTAGAAACAATTTGTAAATATGGTTGTTTATGAACCAGTGAAAGGGTCTTCTATACATGGAAATACCAAATGAATTGACAAATACAAAAGCATTGATAAATATGAAAAATTAAGACAATGAATGTTTTAGATGGTGCCATGTTTGTCAACTGAACCTACAAACAAAGATCCACAAAGAATAAAAAAGAAAGAGAAAGAGTTTGTTGATAATTTGGATTATTCAAATATTGATTTTCCTTTTAGTCAGAAGCACTATAATAAGATTGAAAAACAAAATGACATCAGAATCAATGTATTTGGTTATGAAAACAAGGAATTTTACCATTTGTATACTTCAAAAGAGACATTTGGGAATGAAATGAACCTGTTGTTGATAACAGATGATAACAAGAGCCACTATGTATTGATAAAAGATTTGAAGAAAATGATGAAGAAGGCATAAATCCATGCATAATGAAAAGAAACATTTTTGTATGTATTACCTACAGTGTTTCAGCAGAGAAGATGTATTAGCGAAACATAAGGACAATTGTATTGTTATAAATGGTAAAAAATGTATCAAGATGCCAAAAAAAGGAGACAAAGTTTCATTCAAGTGTTTAATACAAACAAATAGCTCGATCTTCCATTTGTGATTATGCTGATTTTGAGGCTGTTGTAGAGAAAGTGCAATCTTGTTTACCTGTCAATAGCAAATCTCATACAGAAACCTATCAGAAGCCTACTGATTGTGGATATGCTTATAAATTAGTCTGTAATTATAATGATAAACTCAGCAAACCTGTTCAGTATTTTATAGGTGAGAATGCTGTTGAGAAATTTTCGAAACAAATATTGAAAGAAACTGATCATTGTAATCAGATGACTTGTAAGCATTTCTATCAATAAACGTTTGAAAATGTCTGTCGAAAATGAAAAGGAATTCAAGAAATGAAAGAAAATTCAAGACAACCAAAAGTTGCCATATCTGTAAAAATGAATACACAAATGAAGTCAGAGTCAGAGATCATTGTCATATTACTGGAGAATACAGAGGAAGTGCTCATAAGGATTGTAAATTTGAAGCTCAGACTCATTATCAAGAAAATGAAGATTCCTGTGATTTTCCTTAATTTGAGAGGTTATGACAGTCATTTCATCATGAAGAATATAGGTGGGTTGGTAGAAGAGAAAAACAAAATGAAATTGGATGTTATCCCAGATAATATGGAGAAATATGACTTTCACATTGAATAACAATTTGGTATTCATTGACAGTTTCCAGTTTATGAGCAGCAGTCTCGCAAGACTTGTTGATAATCTTCCAGATGATAGTTTCAAGTACTCAAAACAAAAGTTTAAAGTGCTCTGCGACCAAAATGCACCTTTTCTTTTCTCCTCATAGGTTGAAAGTACTTACCCTAAGTAACAAATTTGCCAAATCTTAAGGCAAAACTCCATCGAGAAGTAATATTATTTTCCCTGTAGATTCGCGATCTAAACGGCCGCCATTCTTCGAACTGCAGAACTTCGCGCGAAGAAGAATAAACTGGGTCGAGAACGGAAGTGACGTCAACGACTCAACAAACGTGGCTAATTTGGTATGCCGAGAGAGAGAGTTGTTTTTCTGGTTCCGCAGGAAAGAAGGATTAAAATTCGAAATAATTGTTCCTCAGCTTTCTTTTGCGTATTTCTTGTAAAGGCATGCCTTCGCGACGTTGTCGAAGTCAGTCGATGACGTCACAACTAAAACTGCTGTAGTTATTTTCGCGATCTCTCCAGTGTGTTATTCGAGCAATGGCGGAAGAATTTTTAATGTCTTCGCGGCGCTGTTTTTAAGGAATAACGTTGTAAAATTTGAGAAACTTACGCTTATTCTTATAGTTTAGGGTCTAAATGTGAGGTTAACACCAGAAAATTGGGAAAATAAAATGCAAAAGTTTCGTCGCAGTAGCACTTTAAGAAAGATGAAAAATTCAAGTTGATAAAACAAAAGGGAGTTTATCCTTATGATCATGTGGATGGGAGAGTACAAAACCTGGAGCCCGGGTCCATGGACCAGTTCCATGGACCAGGTTCATGAATCCGGTCCATGGACCCCTTTTCGTGAACCCCATATAAAAATATGATATTTTTTGTTTCGCAAGTTTTATTTTGGTTCGCAAGTACTTACTACAATTTGGATCATACCGGCTACATCCGATCCGATAAAACCAAATACCGTCTTTCCCACAGCAAAGACGACGCATGATTTTCGTACCAGAAATTCGACTCATTTCGTTCACACGCTACTCTATAAGTTGCATATCAAACTGTTTCCCCACTGCGATGGACATTTGTTTTTGTCGGTTCCAGCCTGGCGCGGCCGCTAACCCAGATGCCCTCCTGAGCAAATTTTCAAAATGGCGGACAAGCCAAAGAGAGAGATAAGAGAACCAAAGCGATTCTGCAACGAATACTCAGCATACACCCCTGTTAAAAAGGTCATTTCACAGAGAAAAGATACAAAATTGTATGAT